GGATTATTATTTCAATTCGAGATTTTTTTCTTATAATATATTTTTTCGTATAATTATAATGTGCAACATAATTTCCCCTAAAAATATTAAAATTACAAAAGTCTCTTTTTTTAACATAAGGTCGTAAACGTCGGTTTTTATCGATATCTTGAAAAGGGCAATTCAATTTCGCAATGCAGCTTGAATCATTCGACAATTTTCACCATTGACTGGCGATGTTTTCGAACGACTCGTACAAATTTCTGCGGCTATTATTGTTGAATTATTTCACCGTATCGAGCGTTTCGCGTTTCGTAATGGCGAAATATCGTCATTATTCACGTCTTGTTAAGGCGTCCCGAAGAAGGTGATTTCTATGCACACACAAATGCGGTGGCGCAAGTGGTAATCGTTGCTAATATCTGCCATGTTACAGCTATTACCATGCTTCACCGCGACATAGCCGTAAATTCCTTTAAGCAGAAGCATCTTAAATCCGTCTCGTTTTCGCCTCTCGTTGTCATCGTGAATCGACCTGCCTTTTTCTCTTTCTCTCGGAGGCACGTGATTACATCGACGCTTCGGATTCTCTGGCATCCGTTGATCGCGATCTATCGAATGCTTCAGATTGAACAGTTATTTGTAAATAGATGATGAGACAGATATGTTTCGATCCATCGTTTATTTATACAAAAATAAATTTTATTAATTATTAAAGATTTTTTAATAGCATTTGTGGATTATTTATAATAAAATAATAACGAATATATTTTATTTTTAGATGATAGAAACTTTTAAATTTCGAAATATTTTTATCATTTTATAGATAAAGTATGAGGAAAACTAATTATTTCCTAAGCTATGTTCATAATTAGTATATTTATTTTATCGAGTCAGTCTGAAATCTATATCTGAGCGGATTCCGAATACTTTTTAACGGGAAGAAAACAATATATAGTTTTTATTGGAAATTAATTTAATTTAATTTTATATATAGTTTTTGTAGTTATAAAAAATTATTGCAAGAAGCGAATACATATTGTTTGTCTCCCTGACAACTGGTGATAATTTGCTCATAATTTTGACATTTATTAGCAGATAAATAAGAGCAGGATAGACTCAAGAATTTTATTAATGCGTTGACAAATTACGTGTACGGGCGTGTTCTCCTAGATGATTTCTCTCGGTACGTGTACCTCATAGATTACGATCTATACGGCGCACCGTTGCTCGAGTTTCTGCAGGTTTCTGTTCGGTTCGTTGCGTAGGCGTCGGGCTTGGCAAAGTTCCAGGACTCGTGGGAGGCTGACCAGGCCTCGCGGACTGACCTCAGCCTCTGACCTCACCCGAAATAGTCTCCCGTTGCCTGGCTCGTTTCTCTTGCATTTCTATTTCAGAATTTTCCTCTCTCACGTCGCGACAGACGATGCTGGAATGAGTTTCTCTATATTGTGTGTGCGTCTCCATTTTAGTATTTCTTTACAAGTGATATTGGATAAATTAAATATTTTGAATATAAAAATTTGTATTTAAATGGTTCTCTTAAAGTTTTATTTGATCCATAAATATCAATATTTTTAACTGTATTTCTTGGCTTATTACACTTTATATTAATGAAACCATATATATGCAAATATTTGTAAATATACAATATAATATTTATTTGTTATTATTATTTATTAAATTTATACATAAATATAATTTATATCAGACAAGAAAAGGAGAGAAATAAATCAATATACTTTGATACGTAGACATTTGCGAAACGCAACATTGCTCTCTTTCTCAAAATTCACAACTCGTGATTTTCGCTTTTTACGAGACATTTTATAAGATCTTTGCAATAAATAGAGAGATATGAAATACAATTATCCGATCTTTTTTCTCTCTCTTTCTTTCTCACGGAACTTTCGATTTCACGTAAACGAGTGATGCAGACGCATCGCGCATTTTGCCACAACGCTATTTTTAGCGGTATCATTTTTCTTTTTGTTGTCGATGATAGCGAATAGCGCGAGAAATTGATGCGGGCTGCAGATCCTCTTTCTCTCTATCTTTCTCGCGCGGCTAAGATAGGTAGTTCCATTAAGATGCAAATTCGCCAATAATTCCGTGCGGCATGGCGGCTGGTCGCCCTGATCGCGTACTCGCTTGAAATCGGTCATATTGCAGACACCCGTTTTTTAATTTCCTGTGCGACACCGATCGCCTTACGTTGCTTGTAAAGTTAATTATTATCTCGGGGCTTTAATTGCTTCGGGTATCGCGATATCCTTTTTCTCGCGAGGAGATGACAGGCAAAAAGGAAGCGAGATCATAAACACCAGCTGCGTATGGCGTTGAAAGCTAGATCGGATAGACGTGGTATTCTTCGTGTTTATAGCATTAGTACCAGTTACCAGGCCGATGTAGTGGATACTTATTTAGTTAATGCCTCAGCCTGCATGCGTGTCCATTGAATACACCTGCTTTCCTGACGTTAGACTTTATAATAAAAATCAACGAATTTTTTGGAAAGAAATTTAAATATGGCAGTCCTTCATCCCTCTTATTCGCCATTTGGCTTTTTGTGATTACTTTCTCTTAACAAAAATAAAAATCAAGATGAAAGATTGAAGATTTGGTCGAAAATTTGATAACGTAATTAATATTCAAATCAAATCATGGACGGTGATAAAGATTTCAGGACGCATTCAAATTATACGAGTAGCAAATGCATGCGCTTGCATGATGCTGCCTTATTTTTATGATCGTATGATAGAGCTGGGCAAATTTTATTTTAAATAATAAAAGGAAAATAAGAAATAGAAGATAGGTTTATAAATAACAAATTTTGATTTAGAATTAAAGTAACGAACAAAGTTTTTAAATTACTATCGGAATTTGTTTCCACGAGATAAAAAAATTTTAGTTTGTCTTTTCAAAGAAATTTAACAATAAGTGTGTATATATATATATATATATAGCTTAAATTATTATCTTGATTTATTATAAGCAATTTTATTTTTTAATAGTTGGAGATAATTGTGAATTTAAAATGAATGTAACTATATTACGTCTTTGACATTAAAAAGTTTATTTCTTGCAGATATATTAGTTAGGAATCAAATTGCTAAAATATTTATTGTGTTTAAAAATAAATAGTGATATTTTTATATAGGATGTATCTCGGATTACGAAATTTGCTATATATATAGATACGTTAAACACACAATTTTATATTTTAAATTAACTAAAATTACGGAATCATTATTACATATTTATATTTATATGTAATAGGTATTTATATATTTGTAATTATTATTTTTTATATAAAAAGAATTTTGTCTATATTAGAATTAATTAGTATATAAATATTATATACAAGTGCAAAAGAGTTTTTAACTATGATGCTGTTATTAAAATATATACTAATTCAGAATTATAATATCTCTCACTACCGTTTTCTTCATTCAATAGGCATCGTAACGCTCTCATATTTTCTCTGTACCGTTTTTTTCTTTTTGCTTTTCTGAAATTTTTGATTGCAATTACAATGGGTAACGCAAATATTTTCGTAACATTAAAATAAATGTTTTAAAATTCTCGTAAAGGATATCATATGCCTGGTTTTATTTTCGCTAATGGTGTTGCAAATATACTCAATTTATAAAATACAGATTTCTTTTTTTATTTCTTTTTTTTATTCGCACACGTGTATGTGTGTGTGTGTGTGTGAGCCCAACTGTATTCGATAATTTTATTTATCATTTTATGTATTATATTATTGTAACAGACAATGTCATAGACAATAATATTCTGGTAAGTGTCACATACATAAACAATAAACATCGAGAATGTAAAAGTATTGTTGTTAGTGAGTTTACGGATGACTTTCAATCAATGTTTTAATATGTGTTAGTTCGGAAAATTCTTCTCAAAAGCATCTAATTGCCACAACAATTTTTAGTTGCGAATATAATTTCAGCTTTCCTAAATCGTGTATCGTGTATCAAAAAGATTTGTGGGATTGCTCTGAAGTCAGTAACAAATATATAAAAGTAATTTTATATACCAAATTTGTTATGTCAGCCGAGCGCGTAACTAACAAACGGCAAAAGACGGCAATAACGATTGAAACCAAACTTGCAATTCTGGAGGCACATGACGAGAAAATGTCGGTTGACTCCATTTCCAGAAAGTTTGGTATTAACAATACAACCATTTATAACATAATAAAGCACAAAGAACATATTCATCAATTAGTCAGTCAAGGAATAAATGTGAAAAAATCGAGAAGCAGTCATAGTATGTATTTTGATTTGGACATTAAATTATACGATTGGTATAATAAGCAGAAAGTATCGAACAAAACAATTACTCGTGCGCTACTTCGTCAAAAAGCAAACGAAATTATAGAATTTCTTGATTATAATTTGAATAGGAAATCTTTGACAGAATTATTGAGGAAATTTGTAAGACGTTACAACATTATATTTGAGTCTCCAGATACGAATGAGAGTTTGCAAAATCCTGTTCAAGATGATAAGGTTAATCCTGTTCAAGATTATGAGGTTAATCAATCTGGTGCTGAACAAATTCAGGAAAAACATATTCCAAGCAAGCGTTCCAGTGAGTTGGACAAACAATTGTATGAATGGTGTAAAGTGCAGAAAACAATAACTAAGGATCTACTTAGTCAGAAAGCATCCGAAATCGCAAGAGATGTTGGAGGGCCAGGAGACATGCGCAAGTTTGTGCAGAGATTTATAGATGATTATAATATTAAATTAGAATCTGGAAATGCTTGTGATATTTTGCAGAATCCTGTTAAAAGAGATGATAATCCCAATCCATCCAACGCTGAAATAAATTTCCAAAAATTCTTGCAGCGATCAGAGGAAAAAAATATTAGTATGGATAACATTTATGTTACATTTCAAATAGACGTTATATGGAATACTCTTATTAAAACTTTGCTAGCACACGCAAAAAAACAAAAAATTGCACCACAATTAATTGACATTAACAATTTAAGAAAGAAAATTGTAACTTTTATGTTTTGTATAAATATTACTAATAGTAATTCTTTACAACCTTTTTTGTTCCACGACCATGAAATTAACGAAAATGAAATACAAAATGTATCAGAATTTTTCGAGAATAAATTCCTCGTCGCTCATAAACTACAAGAAAAAGGATCATCAGAAGAATTAGATATCAAGGATCGTTTTGCATATTGGTTTAATAATGAGTTTAAGGCAAGAGTTAAAGTTCATAATGAGAACGAGAATATACCTGGCAAAGTGTTTTTACTCGGTGACGATTGCACACGACGCTTCTTGTCGGAAAATATTGTTCAGGATGATGATTTCGAAATAGAATTATTTACGATAAACTCATTGACAGAATTACTGTATCCAGAAATTATTGAGAGAATGAACCAACTTTGTCTTAGTTATTTGTCAAAATGTGTACAGAAATTTTCTTCTCAAACTATGTTCAACACAGAATTCTACAAGGAGTACAATATAAGTTGGTGCACGAATGTAATCAGAAAAGCATGGGGAGACATCGTGCTAAATAAAGAAGTAAAATTATGGAGATTTGTAAGATCGTCAACCGCGAGAAGGTATTCCATTTTTAACTTAAGTTACTTCACAAAATTTAATTAAGTCGAGAGAAAAGAGATTTGTTCCAAATTAAATATATACTGATGGTAGATATTTTTAATTTCTAGAGAAGAAGGCGAAAGAGAAGGAAGAAGACATTAAGAAGAAGCGGAAAATATTGAAGACACTAAAAACAAACAATAAAAACAAAAAGAGAAGACACTAAATAACATCTTTTGGTAATTTAGAATAAATAATAGCAGAAGAAAAAGAATTCAAATAAAAAATATCAAATGAATATTAAACGAAGTATTTAGCTCTCTGGTGATTAAATCGTATATAATTTAAAAATTATAAAAACATTGCATTTTGTATGTAAAATTTTTATTGCGTTATTTCGATGTGTATTTATTAAAACATGCATATAATTTCATATTTATAGTACGTTCCAACATTTACTGTTAGTACTGAAAATCTGTGGTGTACGTAAACTATAGATCTTTGGTACTGACAGTGAAAAGATTATAATTTCCGTCATTTACAGATCCGTTAAAATTTTCTATAACAGGGGTTAAAAGAAAACCACAATTTTTCAAAACATATAAATCATGGTCTCGTCTGACAATGAGCTATATTTGCTTGGAAGTGACTAACAGCGATTAGAAATTATGTTTTTCGTCCGTATTGAGGAATGTTGTATGCTCGAGAGAATTCCGAAATTAGCGAAAATATACGTAGAAATTTTAAAGAAAACTTGAATTCTATTTTCGGAGATGCAACTGATAAAGCCGTAGTTTAAAGAATGGTACGAGATCATATATGCGGTATTTATTTATTATTCTATTTCTGCATTAGATTTTTGTTGTCTTAGTTAAAGAAGTACTGTATTATAGTTTACACATATACACGTATATATATATATATATATATAATGAATGAATAATTCTGTTAGAGACTATTTCTACATATTTTTATGTGGATGCCCAAATTTTTTCGTCTGTTTTTTAATTGTTAAGATATTTGAATGTTCGCTTACAGAGAATTCCGTTGGATGCATTAGTGTGCACATAGAAAGATTATTGCACACTTTACACAATGGCATAAATAAATAATTAAAAAAAAAAAACTAAAATATCAATATTAATAGCTAATAGTATATATTATTGTTCATTAATTGTACAAATAATAATACTATTACTTGTATAATATTACACTTATCTTTTCATTATTTAATTTACGTATACATAGAATAAAAATATATTATATATTATATATATATTCTAAAATATATATATTATCAATAATTTATATTATCAATAATATATATTAAAATATTTATTGTATATAATATATATTAAAATTTATATTGAATATAATATATGTTATCATGTACAACTTATTAGTTGTGTATGATAATTTTTAATGTGTTCCAGTGCACATGCAATTGAATTCGCCATTATTGATGTACTTGCAAATTGCTCTTGACGTTGCTTTGCTTCATTGATCATATGATTGAAGTGGTCTAATTTAATTAAATAATGTAAATTAAGAAATATAATGTAAGTGTTTATATATAAATAACATACAAATTTTTTAGAATTAAAATTAGTAACGAATATTGTTTTTATTTCTTAACTGTCAGAATATATTCGTACAAGATGAAAATGTAAATTTTAATTATTTTTTGATAAAAATTTAACAGTTAATAAAAGTGTTTATATGCTTAATTATTATCTGAATAAAATTTTATCTTGATTTATCATAATTAGTTTTACTCTATTATATCTTATTTATCGTCACAGTTGTTCTCTCGAAAGCTCATGCATTGACTGTTTCTGCCATAATTTGAATGCGCCCTTTAAATTCTTTGTAGTGTTGATCACCAATCGAGATTCAATTTGGAGTGATAGTCTTTATATGCTGTCAAATAAAATTTGATTGCAATATGCGGTATATGCGTACTTGCAAAAATCAGTATTAATATTATTTCGTTTACAATCGGGATTGTATCAGATTTCGCTAAGATCTTTTGTAAGACGATGAGAATTATAGGTACAAACGTGCGAGCTCATAAAATCGAAGAAGGATGCGATTTTTATTGTGGACGTACTTTACATGTAAATACAAAGAAAGAAGATATACGTGGTAAGAACAAGGCTATCGCTTTCTCAATCCGGTAAGCCAATCGCTTATTCTGTATAGGAGTGCAAAACCGCTCTCGTATGAACTCTCGCAGCGATTGGGTGAACCAGTTAGATGACGTTCTTTCCACAGGTATCTAATTACTGGCACAATCTAAGAACTGAAACGCGTTTACAATCACGATTATTTTCTCACAAGCAGGTCGCGAAAAGACATTAAGATATCTCGTTGAAATATATCTGTTTTTCGAATTAATATTTACAACTACTTTATATATAGACTATTATTATTTTTTCGATTTGTGCTATTTTAGATGTGTTAACAGCAATTAACGTAATTTAAATTGCTTTCGTGATTTTTTCAAATAACGATGTAAACGTGAAATTGTCGAATGAGTAGAATTTTACTTATTAATTTGACGTGAAAAGTCGATGAGAAACTAGCTGCCAATGTCTCACGGACGAAGGTGTTGTTGATTGCTAAAGAGGGCACGTAGCCCGTGGTATGAAAACTCGGCAGACATTCCGTGGAACGAATGTTAAGTCGCAGATGTTATCGTTCCAGATATTTACTGGCCTGCGAGCCATCAGCCCGCTTCGAATTAATGGTGCGATCGGTAATGAACGTGGCAGCGCGAGAGCCGCGCAATCACGGCTTCTTGGTATCACAAATCCCAACTTCCTCCTGTCCCGCGGCCATACACGCGGCGCGTTATCTTACGCAGACACACCATACACACATGTGCGTGCGTTATTATCAATGCAATGATGCGGGCTGCGCGCGACGTCGTAGGGCGTCGCCGCTCGCGAAGATTACTGGTTTGCCAAGAATAAAACCGCAGAAATATTTTACCGCAACTTTAGAGCTGCTGGAGTCTCGCGCGTTTTTAGCAAAATTTTAATAATAACGTACTTGCTTATATACATATAGAAATTTGTTATTACGTAATATGAAAAAATAAACATTACGTAGCGAGTGTAAGACTGCTGTGAAATAAAATTGTTTGATATTTTTTTATTAATTTAGATTATATGTTATATATACATATACAACATGTATATACAAACATATACTAATATGAAACTAATACAAAGTCCAAAAATTTGTCGTTAATTAATTATTATAATTAATCAGTATTAAATGTAGAGAGGAAGTAATTTTCCGCGTCGCAAAAGAGTAATCTATGGCGAGGCCCGTGTCACTATAGCGATTCGAAAGACGAGCAGCGCAAAATAGAAGCATATTAAGCTGTTACAATGTTATTTGGCGTCTCTTCTGTAATATGATGTCTCCGTACAGTCTTGAGGAAGCGGGTCGGGTTCAGATAAGAATAAGCACTTGGCGCCTTGTCGTAAACGTCGTCCGTATTGCATACGTTTACAAGAACACTTGCTTGGCGTCCGCATCATCTTGACGTCGTCGAGAGGCCTATACTTCACCCGTAAATGAGAATAAAAAGGTAACATTAACACGTTTAGCATGACAAAGATGTCTGCAACAAGTTCTTAACTTAACGGGACATTAAAATCTCATATCTAAAACGTTATCCAAAGTTTCTATATTAATTTTATAATAATCTAATACTTGCACTAGGAATGTTATGTAATAATTTTTAATAATAATATAGTACAGAACGATTATAATATATTATTAAAAATAAAGTGAAACTTTCTGTAGATTTGTTAAAATAACTTGCTTTTGAAAAATTGAGGGTTTAAAAAAATAGATAAAAATCATTGGCAAATAATTTAATAAACAATACTTAAAAGTATGTTGATAATTATATGATTAAATATTTTATACTGAAGTACTATCTATCGATTTCTATTTAAAAATATAAGAATCTCTTTAACGTTGTATAATTTTGAAACTCATTTATATTGAAAGTTCAACGAACTATTTATTCGCGATATTGGTACGAACGATTATGTCGACACCGGAAAATGATTTCGCATCGTGAATCGTAATAATGCATTTTCGGCGCATGCGTGAACAGCGTAAAAAAGAAATAAAACGAAAAAAAGCAAAGAATCGAGGAAAGAATAAAGCTGATATATTTTATGGATATCCTCCGATCACCGAGAAAATAGTGTAAGATAATATATTTGGACAAAGGGTTGTGTTTAAAATATTTAAATATAGTGCTGAAACAGTAAATATATTTAAAGATATTAATGTTTTTATAATATATTTGAAATGGCGAAATTTTATAGATATGTTAGATGTGTTCGACAAGTCATAGAAGAATACGAAAAATCTGCAGGAGAGAGGAAGAAGAATATTTTTATTTTTATATTTTAAATTAAATAAAATTACGGAATCATTATTACAAATTTATATTTATATGTAATATGTATTTATATATTTGTAATTATTATTTTTTATATAGATAGAATTTTGTTTATATTAGAATTAATTAGTATATAAATATTATATACAAGTGCAAAACAGTTTATAATTATGATGCTGTTATTAAAATATATACTAATTCAGGATTATAATATTTCTCTCTAACGTTTTCTTCATTCAATAGGCAACGTAACGCTGCCATGTTTTCTCTGTACCGTTTTTTTTTGCTCTTCTGTAATTTTTGATTGCAATTACAATGAGTAACGCGAATATTTTCGTGACATTAAAATAAATATTTGAAAATTCTTGTAAAGGATATCATGTGCCTGGTTTTATTTTTGCTAATGGTGTTGTAAATATACTCAATTTATAAAATATAGATTTCTTTCTTTATTGTCACTAGTAAAGTTTTATAATTATTTTGCAAAATATCAAAAATTAAGGAATTTATAAGTTTTCCACAGATCTAATCACGCGTGCGCACACGTGTATGTGTGTGTGTGTGAGCCCAACTGTATTCGATAATTTTATTTATCATTTTATGTATTATATTATTGTAACAGACAATGTCATAGACAATAATATTCTGGTAGGTGTCACCATACATAAACAATAAACATCGAGAATGTGAAAGTATTGCTATTAGTGAGTTCACAGATGACTTTCAACCAATGTTTTAATATGTGTTAGTTCGGAAAATTCTTCTCAAAAGCATCTAATTACCACAACAATTTTTAATTGCGAATATAATCTCAGCGTTCCTAAATCGTGTATCGTGTATCAAAAAGATTTGTGGGATTTCTCTGAAGTCAGTAACAAATATATAAAAGTAATTTTATATACCAAATTCGTCATGTCAGCCGAGCGCGTAACTAACAAACGGCAAATGACGGCAATAACGATTGAAACCAAACTTGCAATTCTGAAGGCACATGACGAGAAAATGTCGATTGACTCCATTTCCAGAAAGTTTGGTATTAACAAGAAAACCATTTATTACATAATAAAGAACAAAGAACATATTCATCAATTAGTCAGTCAAGGAATAAATGTGAAAAAATCGAGAAGCGATCTATTTTATATTATGATTTGGACATTAAATTATACGATTGGTATAATAAGCAGAAAGCATCGAACAAAACAATTCCTTATGTGCTATTCCGTCAAGAAGCAAACAGAATTAGAGAATCTCTTGATTATTATTTGAATAGGAAAGGTTTGAGTAATTTTTTGACGAAATTTATAAAACGTTACAACATTATATTTGAGTCCTCAGATACGAGTAAGAGTATGCAAAATCCTGTTCAAGATGATATGGTTAATCAATCTGGTGCTGAACAAATTCAGGAAAAACATATTCCAGGCAAGCGTTGCAGTGAGTTGTACAAACAATTGTCTGAATGGTATAAAGTGCAGAAAACAATTACTAAGGATCTACTTAGTCAGAAAGCATCCGAAATCGCAAGAGATGTTGGAGGGCCAGGAGACATGCGCAAGTTTGTGCAGGGATTTATAGATGACAATAAAATTGAATTCGAATCTGGAAATGCGGGTGATATTTTGCAGAATCCTGTTGAAAGAGATGATGATCCCAATCCATCCGACACTGAAATAAATTTCCAAAAATTCTTGCAGCGATC